CTTTTTGCAACTGCTGCTAGGAAAATTAGAGCAAATTATATAGCCAAGGTAGCCATTAACTGTAAAGGAGATGAATTTATTTGATCCTATCTATCTACCTCAGGCTATGCTCGATCTTTGTCACCAAACTCTGAGTATAAATTGCACACTGTATTAATTGATATTGTTTTTAACATTAGTGACCATGTGATGATTTTAGCTTATGAATTTTATTGTTTAATGTTTTTATTTGTACATTGGGGTACTTTTATAGCTTTGTTTAGAGTACATAATGTTTTAATAATATAAATGTTTTAAGTCTTTTTTTACCAATTCAGTATATTTTCTTTTAATTGTCAAATAATTCTGTGTACATTGCGGCAGCCTTTGGCTATGTGCAATAAAACTGACTGAGACTAATTTATATTCTGCTTTTCTATGCATGGCACTCAAGGCCGCTAACAATACAGTAAAAATGCAGTCAATGCAGGATGTATAGAAACATGAACATAAGAAGCAGATAAGTCTACTCAGAACAATAATCGTCATCATATAAAATATCAGTTGTTTAAAATATGCTGAGCAATAAATGAGGCAAATTAAACCAACAGTCAAAAGCCTTCTCAAAATAAAAATAGTTTATTTGTTCTCTAAATAAAAATTGCTTTTCTGCTGGCAGAAACAAAACAAAGAGAGCTAAACAAATTTCCATAGGGAAAAAGAGATACAAAAGCAAGGGTACAGCCACTGATGAAATCCTCTCGTTCCACAACTCAAGGTTTAGCAGGACAGAAGAAAAAGCCCCTTTGGAAGATCTCCATACTCAGATGGGCTCAGATTGGAGAAGATGGTCTTTAAAGTACCATGGTCCCAAGCTGCTTAGGCTTTCCTATGTTAAAGCGCTTTAAATTGTGCCCTAATATGATTCAGTAGCCAGTGAACAGCATGTTCCCTATAACTGTTCCTGGTCAAAAATCAAGCTGTAAAAGCTGAAGTTTCCAAACAGTGCTTCAAAGGTAGTCCAACACAAAGCACATTGCAGAAGCCCAGACAAGATGCAATTACAACATATGTTAATCATGGCAAGATCAGACATCTTTAAGAGTCTGATACGCTACTCAACACATTAACAGAGTAGGGTTTTAAGTGCATTGTTTTGCTGTTTGAAAATGGAATATTACAGGATCTTTCATAAGCAAGCACATTTTAAAATATTTTATCACAGTTATTTTTTCCCTAGTTTCTGCCACTGCCTCCCACCTAGAGCCGCCTTAACTCTGGATCTTTTTCCCTCCAGAGGAAATGCCTGACAAAGCTTTATCACTATAGCAACTAACCTAATTGGTCTAGTACAGGTCTCTGCTTCAGCCATTGGGTGGAGCCACTATCCTTAACTATAAGCCAAAAATTTAAGGGGGTGGGAGAAGAGAAACGATAAGATTATCATCTTAGGGTATACAAGTAACAGCTATCATGTCAATAAATTAAACAATAAATAGCTTTATAATTAGTGGTGTGTTGATCTAAATGCTTTTTGTAACCCTTTTTACAAGCTAAATGTATCTACTGCACTTCTTCATTAAAAATACCCAGAATAGGAACATACCTTAATAGAGGAGAAAAGAGAAAGGAATGATAGAAGCAACACTTTGAATTATGTTGAAAGGTTACTTCAATCTTTTACTTATCCATCATATGAAGTCTGTATTTTGGGTAATTTGCTGTAATTTAACAGCCTGTGTACTTTGGACTAAAGCTGTCCAATTTAAAATGCATTGATGTGTTTATACTAATGAACATAACATTAAGGATGCTGCAAATGTTCATATTGTTTATACTTCTTCATTACAAGCTTCACAAAAGCAATAACCAATGACTAATTCTTAAATGATTTGAATAAGAGACATTTAAAACAAACTGCCTCTGTTTCAATTCTTGAGGGGAATCTTCAAACATGTATACTATTACAGTGATGGGGCTTTATTGAAGTTACATTAGCACACCTTTCCGCTACTTATACTTTTACAGAGGAATCATCATTCATGTTTACATAGAAATGAGTAGCTTGCTCCTAAGCAGATATGCACAGGATTATTATTATTATTATTATTCCTGGATAAAGATAAGCTAAAAACGTACTTCAAACATTGTAGCAGTCAGGTGATATGCAAATTATGTTTCAACATTCCAAAGTTGTGCATTCAAATCAGTGAAGAATATAAGTGGCAGGCTGTTGCAATGTTACATATTTTAGACTGCTTGGTGTCTGCTCAGAGTTGAATGGCACAATATATATACTGTGTATTGACTAACATAGGTTTTGTTTGCAAATAAGTTATTCAGGAATTGTTCCTTTACAAAAACAAATGAGATTGCATCTGTAGTTTATATCTATGTGCTGGGAAAAGACATGAAAACAATAATGTTATTGTTACACATTTTAAGGGAAGAAAACACATAATATCTAGATCAAATCTCTAGGAAATATCTCTCTCACAGTTATTGAAGTTTTTCCTTCTGCTGGCGCAGGAAAAAATCCTGGTCAATGGTATTTAGAAATTTCATGCCTATATACTACATTTCCCCCCCAATTCTTACCATGCTTCTCTAACATATGTTTAGCATAATATTTAAACAGTGTAATTTAAAGTGTTGCAGAGTACTCTTTGCAGTTTCCAATATATTTATTGGTCCCAAAGGACACTTGAGCTACAATCCCATAAACTCTAAGTATGAAGTAAGTCCCAATGAAAATCCAGGAAAACACACAGGAAATCATGTCGCTGAATGCTTACAAATGGAAATATCTATAAAAAAGAACTTGAAAGCCTAGGGGGAAATCAGCATACTGAACGAACATTATGGTTTTAAACGATGAAATGTCAAGTGCTACTAGAATGTTTGGAAATTAGGACGAGTCTGTTTTATAGAGCCAATGACAGAAGATTCCAACTGTAATGGAATTCATCACAAAGAGACGAAGCATCACAGCTCACTTCAGTTTCCTTACAGCACTGGATGACGTATCCCACAAAAGGTTCAGGGAGAGAGAGTGCACAAAATAAAAAGTGTATGGGATACAATAGACACACTTCTGAAAGTCAACACTATTTCTATTCCCCATAACCTAAGCATAGGCTGCAACATGACTTTTGTACTCCGTATTGTACTTCAACCTAAGAATTATTCCATGACAGGATCTCAGTAACATACTGTACCGAATGAGTTTTGCAACCACCATGGATTAAAAATACTGTAAAAGCTAATAATGGGGGGGGGGGGTATAAGGAAGACCAACAGAGCAATCCTATTCCCACCTTCTCAGAAATAAGTCCTATTAAGTTCCACAGTACTTACTTACTTTCAGGTAAGTGTATAGGATTATAGAATGACACAAGTGCTCAACTGCATCATTTTCTGAGACACAAAAGGAAACTGCATTTCAAATCAATTTCAATTCAGATCAAATACAGCCTCCCCCCTTCAGCCATACCAAATATTTGTACAAAAACTGTCACTGGTCAGAACTGTAAGCTTTACAGTGTATGACTGCAGCCTTAGACTGGCCTTTATAAATGAAGCACATATTATCTATCAACAATGCACAACCCTTCACTTACAGATACTCAGCTCCTAGTTTTAAGAAGTCTGAAGCACTAGCATATATTTAGAACACTGGTAACAGTCTTTCCAGAATGATGCTAAGGACATTCTAGTTTTGTCCTATTGCAGTTTTACAGCCAGATAATTCCGTTGCTATGTGTCGAGCCATAAATGATGCTAGTGGTACCAGGACATATGTCACAAGAGCAAGTGAAACTCAGCGCAGGTATCGATCTATAATGAAGCACAGGTGGGGGGCTGGACCAAGGCAGGTGAAAGGAAAACAGGCTTGCAATTACAGGAGTAAACAAAGTACCATCTAGGCAAGAATTCCACTGGTGTGCTCACATCCTCCAATAGGAAACACAGGCTTTCCACATTTCTTATTATTAGCATTAAAGTGTTTCGAAGAGAAGGAAGAGCGTCTCGCAGAGCTTCCTCTCTGTGGGATGGACTGCTTGGCACCATAGTTTAATATTAGCACATTGTGTGTGTTTTGACAACTTGGCCTCTCAAGCATAATGTTATCCCCACCTCCCAAAGAAGAAGGAAAAACCCACCAACCGCCCAAGCCAAAAAGGAAGTGGATTTGCCATCTGGCTGCGGCTGTTACTTACTGCAGTAGGCGATGAGGAGGCCAACCAAGATCATAATTGCCCAGAAAGTTGAGGACGCGCTTGGCAAAGCATTGGCATCTTTCCTGCTGCTTCTCCTGGGAGATGGAGCCATTGAAGCCACTGCGTCCCCCAGTGCAGGAAAAAACCCCAAAACAGATACAAAACAAGGAGGGCAGGGCGGGTCAGGTGAGTCTCACCACCAGCCAGCTCTCCCTCCGAGTGACCGCCTTTCGCCACGTGTAATCCCAAAGAGAAACATCTTCCAGGCCGATCTCGGGTTCAGCATCCACAAGCAGCGAGGAGCATCTTCAGCCCAACGAAGCCATGGCACATTTTTTACCTCTTTCTCCGATTCATTGGGAAGCGAGGAAGCGGGGGTGGAAACACTGCAACTTTCCTCCTTCTCTTTCGAAGGGGCGAGCACTGGTTTCGCGGGAAGGGCGAAGTTATTTCGCTTCGGTGTCCAAAATCAGCATCTTCTCATTATTTTTATCATTCGCCCCTTTACGGAGAATCCAGGGAGGCTCGAGCAGAACAGATCGGCGAGGCGACTCCCCTGTGCGCCGGGGATGCCTCGCGGTCCAGCCTCCCCGTCAGCGAGAGGCACGTCTCCGCGAGTCCTGCGACGGGGGAACGGGACCCACGCCGACACGCAAACGCCTCGCACACATTCACACGCGCGCGCGCAAACCAGCCAGCCAGCGGCGTCTCCCTACGCCAAGACCGGAGAAGAGACGTCGTAACTCCACGAGGCTAAGAGAAGAAGCGGGCGCATCCTTCCTGCGAACCTGGCGGGAGAAGATGCCGGCGGAGCTGCTCGAAACCCCTCCGGGCGGTATTATCCGAGGGGCGGCAGCGGGCCCCTCCGCGTTCCCTCGCCGCCTCCCTTCGGGACTTGTGGAGCCGTCAGCCTCCTCGCGGACCCCGGTGGCGGCTGTGGTGGCCGCAGCTGTCCTCGATGAGGAGGAGGAGGAGGAGGAGGAGGTGGGGCGGCCGCGCCCACAGGTGCTGGCTCGCCCTCCGCAACAGACGACGACGACGTGTATCCTCCCTCCCTCCCTCAGCCTTTCGGGTCAAGTCAGGGCGCGCGCGACGGAGCCCCCTGGCCGCCGCCTTCTCCCGGGCTCCTTGCCCTTCTTCGCTCCGTCTTCAATCCGCAGTGGGATAATTCCCGTCCTCCTACAGCTATCCGCTCCTTCTGCCCGTTGGTGGGGCCGCTTGTAGCTGGCAGCTCCGTCGACCGAGCGCTTGCCCGGCGGCGCCTCTTCCTCCTCTGCCACTGTTTTGCTTTTTATATATATATAGTGAGGAGGGGGCTCCGAGGGCGAAGCCTGCGTCCCGTTCCCGCCCTCTTCTTCCCTCTCTCTCTCTCTGTGTGTTTCTTGTCTTTTCCCGCTCGCTTTGGCGACGGCTGGAGCGCGGGTGGGAGAGACGCCAAGCGTCGCGCGCGCGCGCTCCAAATTCGGACGGCACGCGGCTGCTTGTCGTCGGCTGCGTCCCCTCCTTCTCCTCCTCTCCCGGCTGCGGCTTTTTCCGCGGGGGTGGGGGCAATGTGCGCGCCTCAAAAGAATCACACCGCACGGGCGCGTGTGCGCGCGGACGGGGAAGCGGCCCCCTCCTCCCTCGAGGCCGGACTGCGCGCAAAGTTGAACGCGCCTTTGCAAAAGCGCGCGTCGCGACGCCTTCGGTGCCGGGGCGAACGTTTTAAAGAACCTGTTTGTTGTTGTTTTAAAAAAAAAGTCTGCTCCAACGCTGCCACTTTCTGCCCGCTGCAGAAAAAGGGGCTGCTGGTAGTGAAAGAGAGCGGGGATCCGCCCAGCATAGCAGTTTTTCCTCCTAGCACTGGAAAAGAGGGGTTGGTTAAAAGGGGGGGTGTCCCCAAATGAAGTCCCTCTAACCAGCGGCCCACCTCGCCTGTCGCTTACATAGCCTCCCAACATTTCTCTGCTGAAAATAGAGACGTCCTGTTCCATGATAATGTGATTTATACCTCGCCCATTGAGTGGGTTGCCCCACTATAGGAGGCTTCCTATACTGTATAAAAACATAATATAACATTAAAGATTTAAAAACAACAACAACAACAACAACAACAACAACAAAGCCCCTTCCCTATACAAGGCAGACTTCAGATGTCTTCTGAAGGTTGTACAGTTACTTATCTCCTTTGCTTGGGGTTGAATAATGCCATTCCCTCCTATGAAAGCAGGGACGTTCTACCATACCACCCAACATTTCTCCAGTGAAAATAGGGGCATCCCAAGGAAAAGCAGGGCACTCTGGGATTTAATTGGAAACCGGCTTCTGTAAATTCAGGACTGTCCCTAAAAAATAGGTACACTTTGGAACGTGCAAGCAAGAGAAGGCTCCTTCCTTCCTACCTTTCTCTGGCTTGTCCTCTCTGGGCAGAACCCTCAGGCTGGATTGGTCCTGTGCCCAGGAAGCCATGATGGTTGCAGGATTTGTCCATCTGGGAGTAAGTAAGGGAGGGAACAAATGTGGACTCCTCATGCTGTCTCACTTGCCACACTTGGGGATGTGGCAGGAAGAATTTGGCTCACACTGGACTGAATCCCTCCCTGCTGTAATGCCCAGGGGGCAAACTCAAGTGGACCATTGAGATGATGAGGTGGCCAACTCTTTGTGTCGCAGGATGCAGAAAGAGCAAAGAGGGCAAGTGGGTAGAGAAGAAGAAGAAGAAGAGGAGGAGGAGGAGTTTGGATTTGATATCCCGCTTTATCACTACCCGAAGGAGTCTCAACGCGGCTAACAATCTCCTTTCCCATCCTCCCCCACAACAAACACTCTGTGAGGTCAGTGGGGCTGAGAGACTTCAAAGAAGTGTGACTAGCCCAAGGTCACCCAGCAGCTGCATGTGGAGGAGCGGAGAAGCGAACTCGGTTCACCAGATTACAAGTCTACCGCTCTTAACCACTACACCACACCGGTGACTGTCTTCACTCTCTTCCAAGGCAGCACAACAGGCCAGTTCCTCCCCACTGTGGTGGCATGGTGAGCAAAAGGAGGAGATAGGATAAGTCTTCAGTTGCTTGCACACTTCCCCTCCTAGACAGTAGCAGAGCTTAGAGGACAAGGCACTACAGGGGTGGGTGGCACAGCAGAGCCCACCTGGGGAGTGAGCACCCACCCTCCACTCCTTCACAGCTCCTGCCAGAGGATAGGGGAAACAGGAGAAAACCAGGACTTTAATTGTATGTGTGGATACAATTGGATACAACTTCAACCTTCAGGAAAGGATTCTTTGGTTAATGGAAAACAGAAAGATGGGTTAACACCACTGGGACATGGAAAATTAATATAGAGATTTAATAGCCACCCAGAGTGGCTGGGGAAACCCAGCAAGATGGGCGGGGTATAAATAATAAAATTATTATTACTATTCATATTATTATTATTGGGCCAGAATCATGCTCAAGCCTTCAGTCCTATGTACATTTACTTGGAGCAAATTATTATCAACTCTGTAGAGCCTACATTGCAGAAAGCATGCACAATGTAGGCTTAAATTTAAAAACAGCAATTGGTAATACATTTTTAAATAGAGTGGGGATGAGGCTAAGTCCTGTCAGAAAGGCCTGCCAGATCATAAACATTTTTTAAAAAAATATTTAGTTTTTTTCAGATTTTGAAATTTACAAACAATTATCAAACAACCAACATAGAAAGGGAATTCTGAAGAGTCTCCCTCCTCCTCTTTGTGGGTCCTTATATTAACCTTTTCCTCCTTCATCTTGTCTATTAATCCAAATCTATTAAATCTCCATTATAACTAAAAGTTAATATTCTTTTGGTCTTTTTTTGCCATTTTGGCATAGTCCATCAACTTAATCTGCCATTCTTCTCTGGTAGGGACTCTGTCTTCTTTCCATCTCTGGGCTAGTAACATCTCTGGCCTAGCCAGATCATAAACATTTTGGGAACTGAGTGCTATTGATTTTGATTGGACCTAATAAGTGTGCATTATATTCATGAAACATATTAGTAGGAAGTAATTCTCACTTATGAGATGCCGGTGGCGCTGTGGTCTAAACCACTGAGCATCTTGGGCTTGCTGATCAGAAGGTTGGCAGTTTGAATCCCCACGACGGGGTGAGCTCCCATTGCTCAGTCCCAGCTCCTGCCAACCTAGCAGTTCAAAAGCACACCAAAAATGCAAGTAGATAAATAGGTACCGCTCTGGTGGGAAGGTAAACGGCGTTTCCATGCGCTGCTCTGGTTTCTCCAGAAGCGGCTTATGGTAGTTATGCTGGTGACATGACCCGGAAAAACTGTCTGCGGACGAACGCCGGCTACCTTGGCCTGTAAAGCGAGATGAGCGCTGCAACCCCAGAGTTACTTACAGTAACTGTCAGGGGTCCTTTACCTTTACCTTTAATTCTCACTGAATTCAATGCAACTTTCTCCTGGAGTCCCAAGCTAAGTGTGATAAGAATTGCACTATCACCGTTTCATCCCATGCATATTGCCTAGATGTTAACCACCACCAACTTAATAAAGACAACAACTGTGCATTGGACTTCAGCCTGAAAGTATGCATATATACTTGGATGCAATTTCCATTGAGCAGACATGGCATCAGGGCAGGCACCATTTGTAAGTTGATGAGGGTCCATTCCATCAGACAGAGCCATCTCTGACCCTGCTGCCAGCCCAAAATACAAGTTACTGCCAGGTGGGTGCAGTTGTCCTCTTAGCCATGGTGCCTAGGTGGTTATGGCTGGCACCCCACAGCTATTATTGTGGGAGTGGGACACAGTTTTTATTGATGTTTCGCAACTTTAACCTGTTGCAGGATCTTAGCCAGATCCAGTTGAATATAGCAGAGCATATGCAGACTTCCAGAAGCAATCAGTTGCAGGCAGGTAGAATGACGCAGGAACAAGATGCTGCTACCAGTAACTTGGTTACTTAGAGGTGTTTCTTATTTACAGCAGACTCTACAAGTTACTATATATAGGATACAGACACGGATCTTAACTCTCTCTCTGAACAAATTCCAAACGACTCTCAGAACACCACATTGACCAACCAACTAACCAGCCAAGGAAGGTCATGAGTCATCATGCTTATATGGTGACCTTGGCCGATAGCAGAGTTGTATCCAAGGTCCCATATCTCTAGGCAGAATAACTTTCTCTGCTCAGTCTTCTTGGCCTTCGGGCCTCAGCTGCTTTGTGGGAAGCTGCATCAACTACCACGTAGGCAAAAATCCCAACAGTTTTGTCCCTGACAAAACAATGTTTCTGCTTTTCCAGTTCTGCCCCTTTGACCTCAAGGGAATAATTGTGTTCCTAGAGACCCAGGAGCTTCCTGCATCTTGAACATACCCGCTACCTCTGTCCAATACATGCCCACTATCTCTGTCCAATGAGCCAGTGTGGTGTAGTGGTTAAGAGCGAGAGACTCATAATCTGGGAAACTGGGTTTGATTCCCTGCTCCTCCACATGCAGCTGCTGGGTGACCTTGGGCCAGTCACACTTCTCTGAAGTCTCTCAGCCCCACTCACCTCACAAAGTGTTTGTTGTGGGGGAGGAAGGGAAAGGAGAATGTTAGCCGCTTTGAGACTCCTTCGGGTAGTGATAAAGCAGGATATCAAATCCAAACTCTTCTTCTTCTTCCAATAGCAAAACATGTGACAGACAGTCTGGTTTAAAGATAAAGGATAATGAAAGGGCAGAGCAGAGGTCTTGAAATAGCCCCTCAGCTGTTAGCACTGGACAGAAGACAGAGCAAGTGCACAGGTTACCTAGTTATATAGTCTTCCCAATATTATGAAATGCATTTCTTTTTCAAACGATAGTAATTATTTCTAAATTTGAAGCTATACATATAAAATAGCATGTGTAAATTGTACTTCTGATGCTGAGGCCTTTCTTACCTCAACATGGCAACCTGTTCCGCAATCTCTGGAAATTGGCCAGTGCTAGAAGATTCTTTATACACCTAAACCCAGTTCTTTTTTTTCTGGGGGGATGCGGGGGGATGAATACCCCTAAACATTTTGTGAATCTAAGTTTGGCCTCATTGAGGGGCATTATTTCAATATGAGTAGGAAAATGAGAGTACCCCTAAATATTTTTTTTAAGAAAAAAAAGCACTGCCTAAACCACTCCTTTCTGGATTATCTCTGTGATACAACATAAGGTACATGTATAAAGCTGGCTATCCTTGCTCACCTCCTGTTAATGAGAAAGCTGTGGATGTGTTTATTTTGAGAAACTGTTTAAGATTTAAATAACTTAATATTTTTTTATTTTCTTTGTGCAACGAGCACTTCGATTTTGTAGGTGAAGTGATGGGTGAGTACATCACTTAGCAACCTTAGTTGCTTTTGAAAATTAAGGGTTTGTTTCTTTTGTACCTGACATTCTATTCTGAAAAAGATGCCTAGAGTTTAGCAAATTGCCTGTTCATTCTGAAGTGAGTCACTGCTTCAGTCTGGATGATAGCATGAATTTGACCTGACACACAAACAGAATTAAGTAGTTAAGCAGCTACGAATCTGTTCACTGGTAGATCATTATATTAAAATCCAAATGACACATGGTGTTATTCACATTTTTTACCCCTAGTGTTCCTGGTTTTTTTGGAATAGGTACCCTAGTGGGACCCAGTTAGATTGGAATCATGGTGTTCTACCTTTTCTCTTTGCCAAGTTCCCTCATCAAACTTAGGCCTCCCACATTAGCTATTTGCAATGGGAGAATGAATTCACAGTGACACCCTACACCATCGTCCTAATCTATCTCCTCCCCACATTCTAGTTATTTGTTCATTTTTTAAATATTGCATCCTAAGGCTAGAATATATCTAGTTTGACCCTAAAGTAAATAATGTATTAATTTAAGCCAATACAATTGCAAATATGATTGAAAGAACGAAAAACACACAAAAATGCCTTTATTTCAGTGAGTGATTAGGAACTAGGAAGGATAGCAAAATGTACACCTAAAATAAGGATGGAAGGTTCTGTCATTTTGGTATTTCACTAATGTACACATTACATTAGTGAACAGAGCACGATTTCTCTTCTCATCCTGAAGCAAAGTTCTTAACCTGAAGCACTATTTCTGGGTTAGCGGAGTCTGTAACCTGAAGCGTATGTAACCTGAAGCATATGTAACCCGAGGTACCACTGTATTCTTTTGGAAATTGTGAATTCAACAGATTCAGGTTTAAATGTGAACTGAATCAATCTAATCCCCCATCCCTAACCTAAAATGAAGAGAATTTCTGTGTTGGAATAGAGAGAGACCTAGGAATAAATTTGGGCAGGTCTAAGTCTTCACTGCCAGCGGCCTGATTAAGAGAACTGTGAGATTGATTTACTGAATATATAAACACCAACAAAGCACCTACAGTGGTACCTTGGTTTTCGAACATAATCCATTCCAGAAGATCGTTTGGCTTCTGAAATATTTGAAAACCAAAGTGCAAAGGGAAAATTTCAATTTCAACAGGGAAAATGGAAAAACACGCAGCAGAAGCCATTCAACTGCCAATGTGTGTTCGAAAAAGGAAGCATTTACTTCCGGGTTTTCAGCATTCAAAAACTGAAACGTTTGGCTTCCGAGACGCTCGAAAACCGAGGTACCACTGTACGTGGGGTTAAGAACTTAATTCATTCTGGAGGTCCGTTTAACCTGAAACTGTTCTTAACCTGAGGTACCACTTTAGCTAATGGGGCCTCCTGCAGCCGCTGGCGCACGATTTCTGTTCTCATCCTGAAGCAAAGTTCTTAACCCAAGGCACTATTTCTGGGTTAGCGGAGTCTGTAACCTGAAGTGTCTGTAACCCGAGGTACCACTGTATTGCCCTATGCTTGTGTTTCTGAGTACAGATCACAGTTTTGCATTGCAGTCATACCTCACGTTGCGTCTGCTTCCGGTTATGCCCTTTCAGGTTGCGTCCTGCAGCAACCCAGAAGTACCAGGACGGTTACTTCCGGTTCTGCTGCTGGCACATGCACAGAAGTGCTAAATCACGCTATGCACATGCACAGACGCGGTGCTTCTGGATGCGAACGCTTCGAGTTGCGGACGTGCCTACGGGATGGATTACGTCTGCAACTCAAGGTTCCACTGTACTGGGGTCAGACTGCCCTTTCTATTATTGTTATTGCTATTTTATATCACGCCTTTCCACCAGCTTACACACATAAAATAGAACAAACTAAAAAGACTATCATTAAAATATAATTAAACACTAACAGAATTAAAATACTATTAAAAGATCCATTAAAAACACAGACAATAACCTGCAACCACAGGGCAACCACCTGGGCAGCAGCAGGTTTTTGGAAGAAACAGGGAGAAAGACTTATGTTCATTTTATCCGTTCTGACAAGAGGTTGCTTTGCTAAGGAGCCTATTGCCAGCTTTGTTGGGTGATATCCAGCCAAGTACGGTAGCTCCATGAGTGCAAGATCTTCCAGCTGCACAACAGAACTTTCTCTCCTTATGTTTTCCCCATGCACTCCTATGCCCCTGAATCTGTTCTGCGGATTCTCTCAATCCCCCAAAGGGGATTTGGAGAGGGCATGAGAAGAGAGGACAGGAATGGGAAGTTCTGTTGAGCAAATGGAAATCATTGGACTAACTAACTAACTTGTTGGATTACTCGTTGGATAACTAACTAACTAACTTGTTGGATAACTTGTTGCTGGGGAAACCCAGCCAGATGGGCGGGGTATAAATGATAAAATCATCATCATTATTCATGGTTATTAGTGGATAGTGCTGATGTAAAGAGCTCCAACGCCTACGAGTTTTATGAAATGGATTGGAGACATGAAACAAAGGTGTTCCAGCTACCTCAAGTTCATATTTCAAGTTTATGGGTGTTTTCTATCCTCTAAATTAGGTGTTGCCTCTCTTAGGTATGTGGCATTTGTGACTAATTTAGTATAAGTTTCCATATAATAAGGTTACTCATGGATCTGTGTCTCTGATGAATCACTCCCTTACAAATACACTGCTAATTTTCCAGAATAGTTATATCCAGGGTAGATATCGTTGAACAAAAGAATATTAACATCAATACTCACAGTACTATAATTTGAACAGATTCAAAGAGATTCAGAATCCACATGGAATTATTATTAATTTCTGTGAACTCTCCTTCAGCCGAGTCTCACATTATTCTTCTGCCTATCCAAACAGCATTTGCCTCATTCTTAATTATTCCAAAATTTCAACAAGAATTTGTGACAACTGAAAATAGTAATTACCTGAAAGAATTCATTCTGTCTTTTTCTTATGCTTTTAAAAAAGTAAGGATTTCTTTCCCTCTGAAGTGTGTTTGTACAGACAATGCAATTTTAACAAATATTGTGGTTCATTTCTTCTTCTTCTCCTTGTTCTGAAACATCCCAGTGAAATAAGTTAGGATACTGTTTTGCACCTATTTCTCATCAGCAAATAGATTATAAAATGTTAGAACTATGAGGAACTGGTAAATCCAAAGCAAAGTAAGATTTCTTTATTATGAAATGAAGAAATGTGTGTGGGGGGGGAATCAAGGACTGTGTGAACAAAATGTAGATAAAATGTACTATAAACCATAAACCCAGTGCCCAACTTAATAAGAATAAAACATATTTGGGTGAATCAAGAACAAGTTAGCCCCACTGAAATAAATTGGATTTAAAGTCTGACAAACATGTCCCATTGGGATGAAAGTCAAACTATCTTTTATGGATTCAGCTCATTAGGTCTTCATTTGGCAAAAAGCGAAGCAGGACACAGTCTGTTTCAAATGTAAAGTCCTCTTATAGGAATGAGCTCACTAGCCCAGTGTTATATATGTTCTTCTTTTTATTGGCAAAAACAAACACCACCAAAACAAAACAAGGCAGTTTGAAGGCTAAATCACCAAAGTTGTCAAATTAAATCAAGTTGCTTTATTGTTTG